TGTGGGAATGACGAGTTGCTCGAGTTTTGGATGTTTACTCATTGAGAGTGACCGAAGGAAAAGCCGAGTGGCCCGAAAATTGGTCTTACTATGGTAATCCAAGGACAAGGTCAACACCATCATTCAATAAGGATCAATGTGTGAACCTGATTCATCAAATCCATTACCTTTGCCTCCATGAATTTTGAAATTGAGGAATTGATGATGAGGATATCGACACTTTAGCTGTTGTACCTTTCAGGAATCTTCATATCAATGAAATGTCCAATATTCCAAAGGATGGGTCAAGGTCTTAAAATTGGAGAACTGAAGGGTAGCTCAAGCTTTACCTTAAGGTTGAATCCCTTGGAATCTTTTCACATTTAATTTTCATTAATTTTCATTTTTCTTTTCTTATTTAAAACAATTAACATTTTGATGTGAAAAACTTGAGTTAATCTAATTAATCACTATTACCAATTACTCATGTTTAACCAAACAAAAGAAAAGACAACAGACTAAAGTCTCTAATTTCTGTTAACCTTATGGTTATCCTTATATGGTTAAGCCTTTTGGCTCCTTCTCTTTTCTTCACTCACGTGATCACCAAGAGTGGGTAATATTAGGCGCCAAAGTAAACAAAGGAGACGTTTTCTTTTCTCTTGTTTTTCCCCCTTTTTTATGTTACCCTTAGATACTGGATAAAAGCTTAATCTTTATCTCCCTTTCATATATATAGTAATTACTCAAGTAATGGAGAAGAGTTAAGATTTAGATCTTATTGAAACAAGATTAATTTTCCACTTTTGTGAATCTTTTTAATTGTCTAAGTTTTAAAACTCAAATGTTAAAGAAAATTACATTCTTATTTGTGTTTATCTCTCTTACATTTACTTAGTTTACCTTTTCTTATTAAAGTTAATAAACATTATTAAGTTCAACGGAAGTGATTAAATCGATTCTTAAAGTGTTCAATTGGGATCCTGTATACGAATCTTATTGACTTGATAGTGAGGGCAAGTCGGAATCTCCATTGAAATTACACCTAAAGCTTTAGCTTAAAGTTTATTCCATTCGGATATCACTTGAGTGTATTCTTAAAATTGTGGTGATAACCATTTCAGATTAACTCTAGTTGATCATCATTTTTACCTTTCGGTAGTAATTTAATTTTACTTTTCCCTTCAAGAAACATCGATAAAGTCTCCATAGAATCAATGTTAAAAAAGGTAATTTTTATCTTTACCTTTTTCTAACTTTCTCAACAAGAACTTATCTGTGATTTCTAGTTTAAGTATTAATAATTAGATAAATGATACACATTCTCACATGTAAATTAATAAGGAAACATTTAAACTCTTAAAGTTATTTTATTTCATTATCATTGATAAGTCATGATTATATTCAATACATCTTATTCAATCATTTTATCAATATTTGGGATTTCAGCCTGTGTAAGGGAGTGTCAAATGCTCAAACGGATCGTATGTTTTAGCCAAAGAAGTTCCAATGAGAGCAACTATCACAATGAGAACTTGAACAAGCTTTAAATTCATGGCGATTATACGTTGAACGAGGATAAATACTGAGCAGTTATCTGGAAACAAAGAGAATTGGAACTTTACCCAATGTGGTTGTCGTTGAATGTGATGACTGTTTGAAGTTTATTGCTTTTCATACAAATTTCAACGGAAAATAATTACCGTAAACGCGCGCACAGTGGCACCCGGTTAATAAGCGAATGTATCTCGGTTTTTAGCTCAGTTTTCACCCGCTTTCAAGCCCACCGGTAGAAAAGAATTTTTTTTGTTCTTTTCTCTTTAATTTGTGCCATGTGCAGTTAATGTGCGCTTCTATCGGTCCCGGTTCGATAACAAGCCAGGTACCACTGTGCGCGCGTTTACGGTAATTAATGAATAAAAACCCAATCATCTTCCCAACAACAAGGCTACTTATTTCCTGTTAGATTTGTCACAATCTAATCAATCAACTTAACGTAACAATTAAATCTCCCAAAGTTTATATTAGAAAAGAAATGCGTATTATCAATACTATTTATTCAGACTAATTAAACAATTAAAGATCATTCGATATACAAAAATTTACACAGTCTTATTGGTGCAAATATAAAATAGTACTTTACTATTCACCTACTTTGTATTTACTTTTCAATTGAGTTCATTATTATCATAACTTTTGGAATCAAAATTATAAAAATCAACTAAACATAATTTTCTAATTTAATTGTTTGTAGTTATCAATAGTAATCAAATGAAATAGTTGATAATCAATGACAATAATTCAAAATTACAATCAAATTAATCAATGAGAAAATATTATTAACAATTAAACATTAATAACTTTTATTAACCGAATGAGTTGGAACAATTTGTTAATCATAATCAGTGTTTTCTATTGTCTTTTGATTATAATCAACTTTCCGTGCGTATATTTGATAAGAGAGAGAGAGAGAGAGAGATTCGAAAATTCGTAAAAAGTCATTAGAACTTTTCTTTTTCTCTCTCATTGTTCTAACAAGTTCGACGGAAAAGTTTTCGCTATTACCTATTGACATGCACATGTTAATTCATTGGTGGAAGAAAAAAAGTTTTCTCATCAATCTTCAGGTCATCATCTCTTTTATGATGATCATTGACCATTAGAATCGTTGGTCAGTGTATTTCATTAGCTTCCTTGATTCCAATCAGTTGATTATAATAACAAAATGATAACAATAATATTCAAATTGTTTTCTTTGTCTCTCTAATTGTTGATTGTAAAGCAATCAAACAAGTTAACAATCTGTCTCTTTACTAGTTAATTTATTCATTTCAAACAATTTAGTTAAAAATCAGAATGATTTAGATTCTTGAAAAGATTAACGGATCAAGATTAAAATCTCATCTTCTTTTTCACAATCTCAACTGATTTTTAACTCATAACAATTAACTAAACATTAGTTTGATTAAATTATAATCAATTTTATTGGTTATCAATTAATATCATTATGATGATGACCAAACCAAATTAACCTTTTCAAATTTGATTTAATTGTTTTAATCCTGAAAATTGTTAATCCTTTTAGGTTGAGTTAATTCAATTGTTTTGTTTGCTAATCATTGATCTTGTTGTTGTTAATCAACTTTGTTGACAACAATTTGTTTCTACAATCAGTTTAATTGTTCATCTAATCAATTAAACTGATTTTGATTACAATCAAATTCCGGGGTAATAAAAAAGCTTTCAAGTCCAAATCTCCATTGATTTAAATTGTTATCATCAATCTATTAGATGATTTAAACTGATTAGATTAAATTAATTTTCTTGACAATCAAAATTTCACTTCAATTGTTAATTAGATGATTAATACTTTTATTAATCCGAAAACCTTGATCTCCAATTATTATTATGGGAAATTAAATTGTTATCATTAATAATTAACATTTCCGTTTTTTCATTTTCATTATTAATCATTATCAACAACAATCAATAAGTTTTAATCCAGTTATAGGTTTACCTGATTAAATTGTTTTGATTGATGATATGATAATGATTAAAACAATTGATTTAATCACATGGTTCACCTTTAAAAACTTATTGTCAATTAATTGTGATCAATTGACATTGACAATTAACTTTTTCAATGATTGATCATCATTAATATTATTCAGTTGATTTACTTTTACTTTCAAACAATTAACATTATTAATTGGGTTAAATTGTTCACATTAAACACAATCAATAATATACAACAATTAACCCTTAACAGAAAAGGTTAAATTGATTGTTATTGTCTTTGATTAATCAATAGTGAATCAATAATTAATTTTAATTGTTATGAATTTTAAATAATATTTAATCATCAATTTAATCACTAATCAGATCATTTGAATTACAATTAGATTAATGAAAACATTTACATAACAACTTATGATTAGTTTATTGTTTAATTGTCCTTTTATTACAAGTCCAATAAAATGTGATATTAGTTAACAACACAATTAAAATTAATCCAGTTGAATAGTTAATATTATGAGAAAATAATCAATCAGTGAAAAAATATAACTCAAGTGATTAAATTTTCCCGAAAACAATTAAAGATTGACCATTGGTCAGTCTAATCAATTATCTAATTGAATATTAACCTTGACCAGAGAAACCATTTGATAGACTTAATTACGATCACAATTAACCACAATCAAACCTTGACAATGAAAAGGACAACAATCAAATTGAAGAGAGCAACAAGTAATCACAATTAAACTGTTAATTATTACAAGAGTCACAATTGACAGTCAATGTTGATTAACTGTAGTTGTAATTAGAAAGATATAACTTTAATTACTCACAACCAAATCTCAATACGGGTTGATAATAATTTCCCCAAATAATTAACAATTATTATTAATTAAACTCAATGATCAGTAACAAGGTTTACGTTTTAATTGACAATTGTACTAAATGGTTTTTAATTGTGTGAGACAAATTCTGACACAAAATTTGTCTCAACATCAATTGAAAGGTTAACACTGATCAAAATTCACCTAATCAAGTATTTAAAGTCAACCTTAATCATTTAAATCTAATCGGGATTAGATTAGCAGGTTGTCATAAGCCACGATATCAATAGATTAATAGGAAAAAAAGAAAACACAACAACAAGGATTAAAAAGAAAAAGAAAAAGTTAAAATCTTTTTTTCATTTTCTAGCAATTCTTTTACCGTTAACAGGTAAATTATATTATCTACTCTCTCTCTCTCTCTCTCTCTCTCTCTCTCTCTCTCTCTCTCATCTCTTATTGTATATTCATTTCACTCTTTATCCTGTTTATCATCATCAATCGAAATCCCTCCTAGCCAACAACATCCTTTTCTATCATAATCTTCATCTTCATTGTTGTTATACAATAATCTTTTTCCTTCCTCTCCCCATCTCCTCTTTACCTCTCTCTCTCCCTCTCTCTCTCTCTCTCATCTACTTTCTCATCTTCTCATGTCATCTTCCCCTTTCTCTTTCTTTCTTTCTCATCCTTTCCCTTTCATCTTTTACTCTCTTTCTTTCCGTTAGAAGGTAACGAATTTCGAGTAACAAGTTAACCTTATCCTGGTCACTTTCTATCAGGACACAACCATTGGGCGTATTTCCTCTTTCTCTTCTTACTTTTCTCTCTCTCTCACTTTCTTTCTTCTCTTTCTCTTTATCATGATGATGATGATACAACGAAGTAACTTTATTGCAACGAAAAAGTTTTTACTTCGATATAATAACAGCCTAAGTCTCGAAACATTAACCATTTGAAGTTTACTCATTGTTGACGTTAGAACTCATCCCGTTAGTTTTGTCCATTAGTCTCATCACATTCACTCATTCATCATTATCATCATTAACTGGACAACAGCAACTTTGGTCAGTTTATTATTATTATTGTGCCGTTAATGTTAAATTGCCATTTGATGTTACAGTTATAATCGAGATCATCAACAACGACAACAATAAGGAAGAAGAAAAAACTTTTTTAAAACTTTTCTCTTTTTTTTTTCTCTCTTTCTCCAAAATATATTCGATGATCATTACTATCAATAGATCAAAGACTGTGGGGGTGTAAAGAAAGACAGATCAAAAACGTTCAAGTTCGAGCGTTGGACTAACGTTTTTCGAAGATTTTCTAGAAAATTTCGAATAGTAAACAAAATTCGAAGTGAATTCTCGTTCAGTGACAGATTGGCCGTTCGAATTGGATTCTGTTCTAATTTTCTTCTTTCTCTTTTTATTGAACAATTTTCAACTTCCGTTGCCAAACAATCAACTTAATTATCGACAATGTTTCCGGTTAAAGTTGTGATACCAATAATTGTTATCATTACTCAATTAGATTTAATTCAATCAAAAGATGAATCAATTTTATCAAAATTTGGCTTAGCGGTAAGTTGATTAAACTTTAATTTCTTTCAACACAATTAACTATTATCAATATATTTTATTAATCTGAATAAGTTTGAATATCAACAATCAATATTGTCCATCAATGTGTTGATTACTATTAATTGTTAGGTTCAATTTACCTTATTGATTGTTTGATATACACATGAATTTACAATTAACTTGAATTAAATTACTGGATTTTGATTGATAAAAAAAATTTTTGGTCAAACAATTTAATCACAATTGTGGTTTAGAAATTTTCACTAAATTAAAGTTTCAATTGTTGATCATTATTAATTCATTGATTAGGTTAAATTGTCTATTGATGATAGTTAGTTACGCTTCATTTGATTTGTTAATCACAGTTAGTTGACCTTTAATTGTTGTACTTAAGGACAATATTGATTTGTTAATCAAAAATCAATGGTAATGATTTTGATATTGTCACGTATTTGTCTAATTGTTTCATGGTTTTAATTGTCAATTGTTAATTGTTAATCCGTTGAATCTATTGTTTTGTTTTCCTTCCGGCAAAATGATCACTTAATTCAATTCATTCCCGATTAACAATTAGATTTCAATGTGAGAATCTTAATTAGTATTAAATTTAAATCTCTAAAAACAAACAATTAACATGTTGTCTCTTTGATTGTTTAACTAATTGTTTGGGATCGAGGGGTTTATTAAGACTAACAGAAAGGTAGTTAACTTAATTAGTCTTGACAATCATAATTAATTTAGATACGAACATGATATTTACACTCACTGGATTAACAAAAGAAATTAACAATTACGGTAACAATTAACTTGAACCTTTCCTTAAGTTCAAAGTTAAATTGAGATTAAAATAATGACAATTAACAAGATTAACATTATTTTTAGTGTTTAACTTTTAATTGTAACGTGACAATTAGCATCACATCTTAACAATCATAACTGGATTTAAATTATTGATGAGCAAACAATTTAGTTTACCAAAACTTCATCAATTAATTGTAACTATGACCCAAGTTTAAGTTTGATTAGTATTAATATAAGAAACTGATTAACCAATTGGATTTAATTTCTTTTGTTTTTGATTAATTTTTCTGTGTATTGATTATCGTTAATCTGATTATATTAGCTAATCATTTCTCTTAATCAGTGTTAACAATCAGTTCCAGGTATTAATTTAATAGGATTAACGTTAATGTTTTGTTTCAATGTAGTTAATGTTAATCATTTGATTGATGATTAGCCTGTTGATTGTTAATAAATTGTTTTAAACGGTTGTCTTTTTAAATTGTTGATTGTTGTTAACCAACGGTGAGGTTAATTAGTTAATCTGTCGGCGTTAAATGATTTAAAACATTATAATCATTTAGTAAAACAATCAATCAAAAGTGAAAAAGTTTCATCATCACCTTCCGATCAATAGATTAATCTAATAATCACAATTGACAATTTAATCCAATCTAATTAATCGGAAAATTATCTGATTGTGCCAACAATTAGTGTATATGATAATAATTATCATGATGAAAATCATGCAAACTGATTGATTGTTTTACCAAAATGAATATGAATTAATTTAATTTACTCATATACAATCAATTGATTAGAAGACAAAAGTGAATTAAATTGATTAATTAGATAAACAATTAACTTCCTTGAGCAACTGAATTGATTAATTTTCTAATTGAATGAAATATTATGACAAAAAACTACCGTAAATGTATTATTAGGATTAAAAGAGGATTAAAATTTGCATATGAATTAAATTTAGATGTAAATTCATAATGATAACGGTTAATTGTGAATTATATCCTTGATTTGAATATATTAATTATCTCAATTGATCGTAAAGTTTTAATTGTAATCTACAATTGAACCACAATTGAACAAATTGTTTCTACCCTGAAGTTTAACATATTAATCTGATAAAACAAACTATTGTCTTAATCTCAATGATATCAGTTAATCATAATTATTAGTATGATGATGATGATGATGATGAAGATGGTTAGTTAATTGTGAACAAAAGTTACTCTCATTTTAATCATTCTCATTAATCTCGATTAGGAATTAGCTAACGAACTAAAGGAAAGAACAAAGTTTTTTCGTTCTAACGAATTCCAAGTAGATGAAATTCTAAAGTTCTATTCATCATCATCATGGTTGTAACCCTGTAATTAACCTTCCTCATCCTCATCATCATCATCACCGTTATCATTTTCAATCTTCATCTCATCAATTACAATCGGAAAAGCTAAATAAAACAACAGAATCAAAAGATAACTCAATTGATAAACAATCAAAACAATCAACACTTGAATCACTATTATTGTGTAAATACATATGATTAGGATTCAATGAAAACTTTTGATTGTTATTAATAATCATAATTGAAATGAATCAACAATTTACTTGAACAATTTTTCATTGTTATGGATATATAACATTACAATTAGTAAATTGTTATCACAATTTATCAACGGATAAAGTTAGATTATGATGGAAACGTGAGTTCTTACCTGGGTATTATTATAATCATATAAATTTGAATCATTTAAATTGATTATAACACAATTAGTGAAAGAGAGAGAGAGAGAGAGAGAGAGAGAGAGAGAGATTAATAAATTGTTCTTGTATCATAATTGTGATTAAAAGTAAATAGTAGCTGTTAAATCAGTGAGATGTTTATTATTATTTAAAATAAACAATTCGCGAGAAAAATGAAAAAGTTTCAACAGGTAGAAATAACTTTAAATCCATTGTCCAGCAAATGACCGGATCTATTAAATTATAATCGTAATCATCATCATGATAGATAAGTGAATCTAAGGGTCAGTGAGGTAAATTAATATTATATTTGAGAAAGTGAAATGATAAAGATGATTATGATGATAATATTATAGTTGGAACGTGTTTTCGTTGCAACGAAAATTTTAATTTTCTGTCACTTTTTTTTACTTTTGCGCTACTTGAAGTAGAAGATGGTAAACAAAGATGATAATGATGATAAGAATGATAAATAAGGGCTTTTAACTGGTCAGTTTCATGCTGGTCAGTTCGTGGCTACCCGTTGCTTTTCTTGGGCTTGACCAGCTAATTAACCGCCAACGAGCCTACGATATGAGGCTTAGGATTCTGAGAAAAGAAAAACTTTTTTTTTTAATTTTTTTTTTTCGTTCGTCATAATAATTATACTTTTCCTCTATTATTTTTAACATTATTGTTGATATTAATAAACTAATTGTGATGAGGTGTAAGTGTTTAACTGTTAATTGTTTGGGTTATATTCAAGTTTAAAAGTGAAAACAATTTGTTTAATTGACAACAATTAGAGTTACAATTAAGCTTTCATGTTGACATTTTGTAGTTGATTTGATATTTTTATCATTTCACTTTTGGTTTGATCAAAAGTTACAATTAGAATCATCATCATCTTAATTACAATCAATTGATTTAGTTTGCTTTTCTTGTGACAATTTAATTGAATCTCTAAATTGATTAGGTTAACAATTAAGTTTCAAATTGTGCTGATCCATTGGTAGGAGGACATTGTCCTTGGATGTTAATCACAATTAAAGATACTGATTAACTTTGTTCACCACTAATTCAATATTAAGGGTTAATTGTTAACACTATTAACATGATTAACCATGCATTCATATGGTTAATTAACTATTGTTTTAATGATGATTATGATTTAAGAAGCGCTGACTAATCAGTTAATTGTTTAAACAATTAAATTAAATATTAGCTACTTAATCATTTTGGATTATGACTTTGCAAGTTAAATCAGTAAGTTAATTGTTTCAATAAGTTTATTCATCATCATTTAATTATCTTAATTTATGTTGATTGATTGTAATTGTGATTCTTTGGAAACAATTGACTAAATTAGAAACAATTTAAATAACAATTAACTTTTTCATCATTCACAATAATTACATAACTTATTAAAAGCTAATTAAAAAACTATTTCAAGAGTGAACTATATAACTGAATTAATTGATTATGATAGCAATCAATTTAATCAAATTCATTTAGATAAATTAATCAGAATCAGTTGAATTTATTAAATTAACCAACTAATTAGCTTTCAAAACTTTACAATCAAATCTAATTGTAATAGTCATTCAATTATCATACACCTTGAACTTGATCATTTATCAAGTTAATAATACAGACAATTAGTTAATTATCATAACAGTTTAATTCACTAATCAAACATTAACTATAAATTTAAATGATAATCAAGTAATTGTAACAATCAGAAATTAGCATTAAATTGTTTTAAATGAATTAAATTTGATTAACTCAGTTGGTGTTCAGGTCAAATCAGTTGTTTTCAAATCATCATTAAATGGCTGCTGATTTTAATTGTAACAATTAAGAAACCATCAAACCATCAGAGTGATTTAGTAATTGTTGTTGTTGTTGTTTAAAAGTGCAATGATAATGATTAGACAATCAAAAACAGAGACAATTCAAACAATCAGTAAACAATCAAATTGAATTGTTCAATTAAATAAACTTTTCTAATGATGATATGAAATTTAAGTTAATCATCTTAATCCAACGATTATTTAATTCAGTTTAAATCAGTCAGAAAGTTAATCATAATCAGTTGATTTCATTTCCTTGTGACAAAACTTTTTACTCAAGAAAAACTTTTAATCACAACAATTAACATACAATTAGATTTGATGATCATGTTAATCAACATCGATTCCCAAACATTATCACCTTAATAATATTTAATTCAATTCAGGAAGGACAATTTAGTTAATAATGATGATCAACTTGTAATTAGTTAATATCATTTGTTTTTGTTTAATTTTTTCCTAATTAATTTTAATCATGATTAACTTTCTGGTTAATCAGTTGAACCGTTTCCATGGGAACAAATTGTTCACTCTCATTGTCCCTTAATCTTAAGCTTTGATTATTATTAAATTGTAGTTTAAATGATAAACTGGAGTAAAATAGTAAATAATTAATTAATCATACCA